TGCCGTAAGCTGTGATTACACTACTGCATTCCAGCCTGGGTGACAGTAAAACCTTGCCTCAAAAATCAGAAAAACTGATGGTCTCAATGCCTTGCCACCTCTCCTATTCTTAAAACATGCACATTCACATCCTAACTGTTCTCAACTGCCTCACCTTACAACAAACTGGAGTCACCTTGTGTCCCTGCCTTGGAATACCCATCTCCTTAAGTTTCTAGTCATCCATGAACATCCAATTTCTATATGACATTATTAAATGAAACATTTCCTAATAATACCTGGAAAAGATTCTGTACTCCCACTGTATTAATGTATTAACATGTCTGTCTTCCTCTTTTAACTCTAGTACCTGGAATGATGTCTGGCCTAGACGTTCATTCAGTGTTTGCAGAATGAATACATTTTATCATATACAAGGTACTACAATTGGTAACCAAGTTCTATAAACACTTACTTAACAACTAATATGGTTAAAATAAATAGCATTTCAGCACCCTGACAGTAATGGGGTGCACCTTCCTTGTATATCTCATGTTAAATAGTATATACCTGGCTAGCTAATTGAACAAGAGACATGATTTTCAACAAGTCTGTTTAAATAGCTTTGTTAATTTAGTTTGAAGAACTGAGACAAATAAATGTGGGAAAATGCGTTCTTCAATATTCAAACTTTAATTTGGAAGTCCAACAACCATTGCTATCATAGCAAAATTACCTGACCTCAAGCACTATTATCAAAGAACCTATAGTTACAGAAAGAAAAAAAAAAAAATGAATTTTTAATCCTGACATTTAGGACCTCCACAATTAAACCCCAATTTACCTTACATGCCACTCTTCCTCCTTATATGTGCTATACTCCAGCCAAAATGAACACTCCCCTTAACTCCAGGGCCAAAACCCTCCCTTTGTTTTGGCTTTTATTGTCTGCTTTACTGAAAGGTCCCTCCACCCAGTTCCACAAACTCAAATCTAACTTATCCTCTGCAGATAATTCAAATGACACCTTCTGATCCTTTCCTTCTTCTAGAGGTAATCTTCCCATCCTCTCAATACCTATGGCACTTTATCCCGACCTCTCTGAAACCATTTATAACCTTATTGTTAGAGTAAGGAATCAAATATCTAGCTACCTTCTCTCCCTCTATTTGATAATAAGGGCAGGTTCTATACTTAATATTTTCCAAAGCATGTAATTCACAAAATTAACAGGCAATAAAAAATAAAAGTCTCTAAAAAAAAGAAAACAGTCTCACTGTGAAAAAAGTTCTGAAAATGGACTTCTCAGAATCTTTAACCTATTAAGGTACACTATAAATCTCCAACGAAACAGACTGTGCTCAGTTCCATAACTAATTTGGTCACTGAACCCTTTTTAGTTTCTGCAGCACATCTCGTAGGATTAATATTTCTGTGACATGCCCTTTGAGACATGCAGCCTCGTTAAGTTCAGAACCTTATCTTGAACTTAATAGCTACTCAACAAATATCTGTAGAATGAATGAATAATTAACCCTAGTTACTAACTAGGAACTCTCCCATAATGGTCGCCTACACAGAGAAAAGGGAAGATTCTTGAAGAATCATGGGGGAAAAAATAAGCAAATGAGAAAAGAAGGTCCTCAGTAGTATAATAAAACAAGAGAGGAACATTAGCAACAACATAAAAAGAACTAGTGGGGCACGGTGACTCACGCCTGTAATCCCAGCACCTTGGGAGGCCAAGGTGAGTAGACTGCTTGAGTCCAGGAGATCAAGACCAGCCTGGGCAACATGGTAAAACCCTGTTTCTATAAAAAGTTTTTAAAAATTAGCTGGGTGTGGTGGCAGTCACCTGTAGTCTCAGCTACTCTGGAGGCTAAAGTGGGAGGATGGATTATGCCTGGAGGGTAGAGGCTGCAGTAAGCAGTGATCACATAACTGCACTCCAGCCTTCGTAACAGAGTGAGACCCTGTCTCAAACACAAAGAAAAGAGAAAAAAATTGAAAATTTCTGAGTCCAGCCACTTAGTATATGTAGAAGATATAATTTAAACATACCACATAAGAATCCCTATTTAGAATGTCCATCCTGAGATTTAAAAACACTGTAGATGGATATTTTCAGAAAGATCTGTCAACAAAGGTTGAAACTAAGAAGGTATTCCGAGAAACTTCCACGATATACACTATTACAATAGCCAAATCATCTATTACTAAATCATTTCGGTCAACTGAGAAAACATTACAGTTTGATTTTGTTACATGAAGTTGTTTTTGTTAAGAGTCATGGGACCAACAAGATTTTAAAAGAAGAGTTAGCACAATTAAATTTCATGGATTCAAAAGCTTTATTTTGTTTTCATTTAACTTCTTTTAACACGAAAAATGAAAGCACAATTCTATATAATAGTGCATGAAAATCAGGATGCATAAAAACCAAATATCCTTGACTACACCCTGCCTTCTGTTTCCCACAGCTCTCCAGCTGTGACTAAGAAAGGCAAGCAGGAGAAAAAGATACTTCCTGTGACTTGTACTACAACTTAGATGCTATGGCAGGAAACTGAGCAGTGATAGGATTTTTTTTTCCTCTTCCCTCCAAAGCAAAGAGATCAACTTTTCACTTGGGGCTGAAAACTTACACAAGAGTCGAGTCCACTGGAGGGCTGGATTCATAGCCCTATCAGAAAAGATAGATGCACTTCTTAATTGTAAGTATTAAAACTTAATTGTAACTATTACTTTTTAATTTTGAGGAAGCAACAGGCTACATACAGTCAGGGAAAAAAATCACATAAGTTTTAAGAGCTATAAATATATTTAAATTTGTTCTAAAAATCCTCTGGCCTAAGGGTAGTCTAAGGACTACTGTCTCTATTATCATTGAATCTTTCTGGCTACCATGTAACTGAAGTCACTGAATTATGTTAAATCCTAATCTGGTTTCACTACTTAACCTAATGGCAGGACCCCAGAACGGTAAAATATGTATATCCCCATCTCCTTCCCTTCCCCTCTGGGGGAGGGGGGTAATGAAACATATTTCCAAATAAGTTACTGAAACAAGGTAAAGCATTTAAATAAAAATATACATAAGATGGTCCAAGGCACAACTGAAACTGTCAAGCAGGCTAGTTTTCTGGTAAGATCTGGCTTGTTAGCAAAAGTATCAATTAAAGATCTCAAACAAGTTCATCGTTTTCTCCCTTTATAAGATGTGAAAAATAAAACAAAGAACCACAGCACTACTTAGTACTTTGCCCAGAGACTCAGTAAAAGTTCTTAACAGGAAAAATGTCTCTTCGTCCTTGTGTCAATAAACAGATGACACAATTTTGGAATTACAAAAAATGAATGCAGCATATCTCTCAACATTTATCTGAGAAAGTACAGTATGTCTTTTTTTTTTTTTTTTTTTTTTTTTTTTTTGGCGACGGAGTTTTGCTCTTGTTACCCAGGCTGGAGTGCAATGGCGCGATCTTGGCTCACCGCAACCTCCGCCTCCTGGGTTCAGGCAATTCTCCTGCCTCAGCCTTCCGAGTAGCTGGGATTACAGGCACGTGCCACCATGCCCAGCTAATTTTTTGTATTTTTAGTAGAGACGGGGTTTCACCATGTTGACCAGGATGGTCTCGACCTCTTAACCTCGTGATCCACCCGCCTCGGCCTCCCAAAGTGCTGGGATTACAGGCTTGAGCCACCGCGCCCGGCCAGTATGTCTTAAGTCTTTCTTGTAATTACAATCCTTCATTCACAAATTACTGTCTTTTATTATAACAATAACATGTTACTCCTCCCAAAAAAAGTGTTATCTATCCAGAAGACGACTGATATGCAAAATACAGTAACAATAACAAATGTAAAGTTCCATTTGTTATTAAAATTGTGGCAAATTGTAAGCCACAAAAACTGCTGAATCTTAGGCAGAAAAAGGATACCATTTTCATTTACTGTAGATTAGTCTTAATTATTACACTTTTGTTACTCAATGTGAAACACAAGCACACACCAAAAAGGGGTCTTTCCTTTTTTATCTGTTTTCATTTCTTTCACACAAGGAGATGCTTTATAGGTTTCATTGTTTGGTAGTCCAATTAAGAGTTTTCCTATTCTATTATCTCAAACTTTTATCACAGCTTCTTACAGCGGACTTCACGAAATTAAATTTTAAGGTTTACATACTGAAAAAGCTCAAGGAAAGACACTAGTATTTGCATTATTAAGTGTTAAGGATTCTCTAGCTTGCAGTTAGGTGATTTTACAATACACGTAAATGCATATAATACACTTAAGGTGTATTATATACAGGAAACGTTAGTTTTATAGTGTTCATTTTGGTTTTATTTTATAATACACGCAATTGCCTGGAGTTTATTACATGAAATAAAGTGTTCACTTGAAGTTTGCCTTCCTTCAGTCGAAAGGGGTAAGTAGTCCTATTGTCCAAAAAAAAAAAAAAAAAAAAAAGTCCCAGCCTTTTCAAAAATGCAAGGTTAAACTCGCAGGCATATGAACGCCACTTGCAACCTCACTAATGGAATAATTATTCAAAAGGAGAAGCCCCCAAGAGTCCCGATCTCAAGTGGCTTCCTCCTATTACTGCCGCGAGGATCCCAGCGACAAGACAAGGCTCGCCCAACCTGAGGCTCCTGGCTCTTTCCACGTCCTGAGTCAGCTCTTCCCACTCCTCATCCCGAGTAGACATCTTCCAACACCCGAACCTTCCAGACGCCCCCCCTCCCTTGCCCCCGCAGACAAAACCAACCTTCCTCCCTTGGGACGCCCGGGGTCCCCTCTCTGCCGCACGGCCTCCCAGCCCACCTCGGCCCCGAGCCACCCCTCCCCCATTTCACGCTCCGCCCGCGCGGACTCGGATCCGCCACCCCAACCCCTCGGTTTGGCACCTCTCTCCCGAGGGCTCCTCCTGGGCAGCCAGCGAACGCCCGCTCCTCGGCCCGCCCACCCAACTGCCTGCAAACCCCGGGCCCGCCACTCCCTGAAGAGCCGCCGGGGCCCACCTCGAAGAGCTCGGCCGTGGTAGCCATCCCGGCCGGCTGAGAGGCTCGCCCGGCACTGGATGCCGTCTCCGCTTCACATGCTGCGCCTCAGAGGCGCGGTGCACAGGTCTCCGCTCGGCTCGCCAGCTCCGGTTCCAGGCCGCCGCGGGCTCCTCGACTCCCCACAGATCCCAGGCGGGCCGGCAGAGCGGCCATGAAGCGAAGCCGCAGACGCCTGTCAGCTGCCTCCCGGCGCCGCCCGCGCTGCTCCCATTGTCACCGCCTCGTACGCCGGAAGTGGAACTGCGCGCGCCCGAGAGGTTGTCGGGAGGGGCCGGCGAAGAAAACGAGCGCCGGGCGAACCGCAGAGAGGACCGACGCTGCGGTGCGTGAGGAACTGTGATCCTTGCGGGCCACCATCCCGGAAGTGGCCTTTAGAGGAAGAAAGTCCTGGAGTTGCGGGCGATACATGTTTCGAGGTTTTAGGCGGGGGCTCTTAGAACTTTCTGCGGTATATGTTGGTCTGTAGCAACTTAGAAGTGTTAGTCATCTCCTCTAAAGGAGCTACCCTCTCTGCTGAGAGCGACTGGGATGTGGCGCAGGAGGAGCCCCGGGGCTTCTGCTAAGAGTCCATCTGAGAAAGCCGGTCTGCGCTTTTCCTTGGTGGCCACCTTAGTTCTGAGATAAGCTAAAGCTTATCTCAGGCTTACCATGGCTCAGCGGGCAGTGTGGCTCATAAGCCACGAACCGGGAACTCCACTTCGTGGCGCTGTGAGATTCTCCAGGTAAATGCAAATCTGAATCCTCGGGGGTGATGGATCGATGAAGTAGCTTAGTTTTGGGATGCTTCGTGGCCCAGATCCTCCACGGACAGCTGCGTGACCTTGGTCTTGCGGGTTAACAGACCTCTGTTTCGTCTGTTAAATGGAGATTTTGATAGTCCTGCCTTACAGTGTTGTGCGAATTGAGTTGATGACTCTTACCTGTTCAGTATTACGATATATGTTTTCTATTGGTCTTGTGTTTTAAAATGACCTCCGTCTGCTTAGGATTGATGCGGAGATGACTAAAGGAAAGGAAGAAAATTTACTGAGCACTGAACAGGTTTCAGATTTTTCAACTTGCATTGACAAAATCATTCTAGAACATTTTAACTTACTCTACTGATAAGTTATACCAGGCTTTTATTTTTATCTTGTTAATGTGTGTCATTTGGTAGAAATCATCAGTTTACAGTTCCTAATTGTTGAAGAAAATAGAGACACAAAAAATTTAATTTTGTATTCAGTTTTTCATAGATTGTGTTAAGTTGTCCTGGTCCCACTTGTAGAATTTGCCCTGTGTGATCAAAATAGCTCTGTTAAGAAAACTATACAATAACTAATTATAAAATGTTGGTGGCAATCGAGTAATCTGTTTCACCTTTTATTCTCTAGCCATTTATAGTTCTTTTTTTGTCACAATTCGTTCTTCCCTGAAGAAAGCTTATAGTGAAGTGTTAGCATAGTAGAATTGAGATTGAGGCCAAAAAAGATTGTAATTTTAAATGAAAATTGGTTGGCAATAGAGATATGAAAAAGTCCTTTATTGCAGCCTAAAAAGCTTTTGTTCCTGAGGGCATCAGAGTTGGTGTTTACTCTTCTCCCCCAGGATTTCTGGCTAACCCTAACTCCATCATTTCTTCTTGGACCTCAAATCCAGGAGATTAACATTCTTTAGTCTGTGGTTTTATCAGGCGTATCAGTCCATCCATAGTACCTCTCATTTTACTTACATTCCCTTTGGTTACCTATATCTAACTGCTGTTCCCCTTCCCCTCACAGGTAACTCTTCCATGTTCAATGTTACCCTTTTTCATTGTATGCATTTTACAGATTACATCATTAAATGTGCTTTATACTTCACTTCCTAATGTTAAGTTTGTCAGAATTCTCAGTATTATTTTAAAGAAACATCCATGATACTTTGTGTTCATCTAGAGCAGCATGTCCTATGCTCTATGATGATCGAAAGGAGAAATGTTCTTAATCTGTACAGGCTAACACTGTAGCCACTAGCCACAAGTAACTGTTTAGCTTTTGAACTGTAGTAGCATAACTAAGGAACTCAATTGTTAACTTTTAGTAATGTTAATTTATTTTTATTTAACTTTAATAGCCACGTGTGGCTAGTTCTACTATGTTGGACAGTGCAGATCTAAGCCATGGTTTCTTCTTGCTCTTTAGTACTCCATGGTTCACATCCTTCACATTTTACCCATCCGCTTTCCATGTCTATGCCGAGTTTGATTAAGTACTGCCAAATAATCTGCTCCACAGAATGCTTTCAGCCACCTGAGCAAGAAGGGGTTCCTCTATCTCCATTCTTTCCTAACATTTAATTTTTGCCAGTAAAGGACATCTTATTTGCGTTTCCATTTCTGTATGTAGTAATTATTGTTAGTCCTTTAAGTTTCCTCCACTGTGAATTACCTGTGCACATCTTGTCCTTTTTTTTTCTTTCAAAATTGCTTGTTTTTTCCTGTGAATTTATAGGAGTTTGTTTTGTATTCTGGGCATTAGTCCCATGTCATTTTTCAATAGCACAGATACTTGCTGTTTTGTTTTGTTTTGTTTTAGTTTGGTTTTTTGGCGTCCCTGGGTGGGTCCGAACCAGATATTTTCTTTAATTTGCCATTGTCAATTAACTTTATGTTGCACTTGGTTAAACAGAAATCACTGATTTTGATACAATCAGAATAGTTAATGACTTTTGGGAATTGGTTGAAGTTTTTCTGTGTCCGTATTTCCCAAAAATGTCTTCCTACATTATCTTCTCTTAACTTTATAATTTCATCTGTTACCTTTAGGTCTTTGACCTATATGTAGTCCATCTTTGGATATGGTGTTAAATAGGAATCCCATTTTGTTTCTCTCTGTACTGTGGGCCAGTTTTTCTGGCATCACCTTTTAAGCAGTATGTCATTTCTTCATTAATTTGTGGGGCTATTGGTAATGTTAATTATGTCCCTTCATATAAATGTTGGTCTGAGTTCTACTACTTTGTCCTGTGCCAATACCATGTCTGTTGCTTTGTAGCTTATCTTAATATCTCACAGAGGTGACCTTTTTACTGCTTAAAAAAATAAGTTTCTTAAATCCAAGTTTTCAGAATATATTTCCACTGTGCTGAGGCTATGATTTCAGAATAAAAAGTCAGATATGTTTGGATGGGCTTTTCAACATGTTTATGGAGGTATCAAGTTGGTTCAAATAATTTAATCCTGTATCATTTAATGAATTAGTTAAATTTCATTATATTTTCAGTTTTCTGACCTGTTGGGGCTGGTGTTAGGGCTAAATAGATATGCGCTGACACATCATCCACATATATGCCAAAGGGAAGTGGCCAGGATTTAAGATTTAAGGCTAGGCGCGGTGGTTCATGCCTGTAATCCCAGCACTTTGGAAAGCTGAGGTGGGCGGATCACCTGAGGTCAGGAGTTTGAGACGAACCTGACCAACATGGAGAAACTCCGTCTCTACTAAAAATACAAAATTAGTTGGGCATGGTGGCACATGTCTGTAATCCCAGCTACTCGGAAGGCTGAGGCAGGAGAATCGCTTAAACCCAGGAGGCCGAGGTTGAGGTGAACCTAGATCGCGCCATTGCACTCCAGACTGGACAACAAGAGCAAAACTCTGTCTCAAAAAAAAAAAAAAAAAAAAAAAAAGAAGAAGAAGAAAGAAAAAAAGATTTAAGAAGGCAAATGATCTTTATCTATGTACTTATTTCCCATAACAAAACTTGGTTCAGATGCTGGTTTAAAGATTTGCTGTCCAGATAATAATAGCATCAGCTTACATCTGGCTTAGGTTGATATCATACCCCGTAGTTGTAGGGACATTTAAACTTTGAGTTCTGTTTTAGAAAAAGCATATAATAAATTTGAAATGATAGGTTGAGTCATCCAACAAAATATTTATTTAACACATGTTAAGGCATTGTATAAGGTCCCAGTCAATCATGAAATTTTTATACTTAAGAACTTTAATTATCCTCTAGAAAACTAGGTAATAAGAGATTGGACTAGAGTTTCATTCAGAGATCTCTACTATTCATATACAGAGACTTAGAGAAAAAAAATGGCATTTACCTGCTATGCCATTACTGGTGTGCTAACTAATGCTTCCCCTTTCTCAATCAAGAAAATGCATCAGAATGTAGGTGAGATTTACCTACACGTGAATAACTTTGTTCTTTGGGGAGTTTTTTGTTTGGTTGGTTGATTGGCTGGTTGGTTTTTTTGTTTGTTTTTGGTGTGTGTGTATATGTGTTTGTGTGTGTGTGTGTGTGTGTGTGTGTGTGTGTGTGTGTGTGTGTGTGTTGAGATGGAGTCCCTCTCTGTCTCCCAGTCTGGAGTACAGTGACATGATCTCGACTCACTGCAGCCTCCTGGGTTCAAGTTTCTCCTGATTCAGGCTTCCAAGTAGCTGGGATCGCAGGCATGCACCACCACACCTAGCTAATTTTTGCATTTTTAGTAAAGACAGGGTTTCACCATGTTGGCCAGTCTCAAACTCCTGGCCTCAAGTGATCTGCCCACCTGGACCTCCCGAAGTGCTAGGATCACAAGAGTGAGCTACCGCACCCAGCCTACATATGGATAACTTCGAATACATTCTTATTTATGTTTTTAAAAAATATTAGTAAACATCAATATTTTATTAGTAAAAAACTGTTTTAGCCAGGTATGTTTTTGATTCTTCGTAAAAACTGCTGATTTGTTGCTACCCCTTTATTTTACAAACAAGAAAATAGGCTAAGGGAAGTTAAGTGATTTATACTCAAAAGTTAATAGCTGATAAAATGACATTATTCTGGACTTTGAGTGGAGGGAGAAGGAATGAGGCAAAGTACATGTTTTGGAACTAAGAAACTATGATTTAACAGATTTCTGTAAATGAGCAAAAGCATCTTCTATTCCGTTTCCAACCAGAGGAAAGATAAATTCGTAACTGCTTACTGTGCAACTCAGAGCATGCAAAAACATTCTGATTTTATTCTTTTTTATTGCTAAAAGTTTTTTCCAGGGTCATAGAGATAAACCATTATTACTAAAATGATCTTTTATGTTTTTGTAGGGATTGGCAAGACACAGGATACCTGTCATTCACTGTAGATTGAGTAGAATAGAACATTCCTTTTAAAATTGTACTATCTCAACTAATGAATCCAAAATTGTGGAGGGTTAAATTGAACCACTTTGTTAGTCCTACTCTAAGATAGAATCAGAAGGAAAAAAAAAATCTTATAGGTGCCTAAAATGGTTCAAGTATATGCTCCTTGCTGACCAAGATGAAATCTGAGTGGCTGAGAAACAAGGATTTTGAATTAGAATCATGTACTCTACTTAAGCTATATAACTAAACTGATTTAAGCATTTTAAATAATAGATTCTATACCAAGTATGAAACAGTTACTCTAGTAGTAACTTAATGAGCATTATAATTTTTTGGTTGTTGGCTTTTGTGGATGTGTGTATATATTTGTTTCTTGTGTATTTTATTGTTATTTCAGTTTCCCTTATATTTGGGAGTTTTAAAAAATTCTTTCATCTTCATTTTACTTGGAAGAATTATTTATGTTTCTGTTTCCATAATGTAGACGGTATCCAACCGTTGAAAAACGAGCCAGAGTCTTCAACAGAGCAAGTTATGTGCCTATTCCTGAAGATGGTCCCTTTCTTAAAGCACTGCTCTTTGAACTTAGATTATTGGATGATGATAAGGACTTCGTGGAGAGTCGTGATAGCTGTTCACGCATCAATAAAACATCCATCTATGGACTCCTGGTAGGAGGTGAAGAACTCTGGCCAGTTGTTGCTTTTCTGAAGAATGACATGATATATGCTTGTGTTCCACTAGTGGAACAAACTCTGTCCCCTCGTCCACCATTAATTAGTGTTAGTGGAGTTTCACAAGGCTTTGAACTTCTTTTTGGAATACAGGATTTTCTCTATTTAGGTCAAAAAAATGACAATGAGCTAAATACAAAATTGAGCCAGTTGCCTGACTTGCTTCTGCAGGCCTGTCCATTCGGTACTGTATTAGATGCCAACTTACAGAATTCATTAGATAATACCAATTTTGCATCTGTGACTCAGCCACAGAAACAGCCAGCTTGGAAACCTGGAACTTACAAAGGAAAACCACAAGTTTCTATTTCTATCACCGAGAAAGTAAAATCCATGCAATATGATAAACAGGATGTAGCAGATACCTGGCAAGTTGTTGGAACAGTGACTTGCAAGGTGAGATTTTTCTCTAATGTTTGCTTTGTCATTTTATTTAACATATAGAGAAAAGTAAAATTTGCTAGTTGTGTTTTAAATAACACTTTTTATTTTTATCTTAAGCAGCAGTTGTTAAATGGCAGAGTAATATAGAACTTTATAATGTTACCTTTTTATATTCCTTACCAATTATATTAGTTATCTGTGACTGTGTAATGAATTGTCTCATTATCCCCAAAATAGACATTTATTATTTTCATAGTTTCTGTGGGGATTTGCTTAGCTGGAAACTTTCACTATAGCCTTACTCATGAAGTTGCAGTCAGGTTTTTGGTTGAGGCCATAGTCATCTGAAGGTCTGACTGAGGCTGGAAGATTGACTTGCAAGGTGACTCATTCACATGGCTAACCAAATTGGTCCTAGTTATCGGAAGAAGGCTTTAGTTCCTTTCCACATGCACGTCTCAACTGGCTGCTTAAGTGTCCTCACACTTGGTGATTGGCTTCCCTCAGACCAGAAGATCTGAGAGAGAGACAGAGAGACAGGTAGGCAGAAGTTATTCTTTTTATTACCTAGCCTGAGAGATTATATAATAGCATTTCCATTACTTTCTGTTTATTAGAAGCAAGTCACTAAGTGCTCCATATTCAAGGGGCATGAAATTAGGCTCCACCTATGAAAAGAGTAGTGTCAAATAACTTCAAGACAATGGAAATAACAATACAGTTAGCAGTGATTAATGCCATGTTGAATAATGATCAAAAATAAAATCCATTAAAAAAAAAAACCTCCAAGTAAACTTTCTACAAGTTTATATTAATAGTATTCTCCTTTCTTTATTTTTCTATCTTCCTTTATTCTCTGTAGTTACGTACACTTTTTATATATCAAATTTAATGTTGTGTGGCCATATATAAATCTTATCAATAAAACTAGATTTCAAGAGGAGAGAATTAGAACAGTCCTGACACAAAAATTAGGTCTATTATGTTCCTGTTTAATGTTAAAATTACCTAAATGTTTTTGTGTCTGTTTTAAACTCACATTTATCATGGTCAAAAATACATTCCAATTTTTCACTTTATTAGAAATAACTATTGCAAATGGCTCCAAAATTGAGGTGTTCATGGATGATGTCATTCTTAAATTTTATAGTAGTTGAATCTTTTTTCTCATAAGTTCAGTGAAATGAGAATAGAAAAATAGGGCCCGGCACAGTGGCTTACTCCTGTAATCCTAGCACTTTGGGAGGTGGAGGCAGTTGGATTGCCGGAGCTCAGTAGTTTGAGACCAGCCTGGGGAACATGGTAAAAACCCCATCTCTACTAAAAATACAAAACAAAAAAATTAGCCGGGTGTGGCAACATGCACCTATTATCCCAGCTACTTGGGAGGCTAAGCCCGGGAAGCAGAGGTTGCAGTGAACTGAGATGGCACCATTGCACTCTAGCCTGGGTGACAGAGGGAGACTCTGTCTAAAAAAAAAACCACATAAAGTAAGATTATTTGGCATATTTATTTTTAATGTGACTGACATTATTGTAATTGTCACTGAGAGACCTTAAAAAGGCACCTATTATATATAGTACTCTTTGTAATGCCTGCCTGCTGTTTAAGTACTTACAATGTATAGCAGATACATAGTGAATTCCCATACATGTTGAACAGTAGATAAAACATTAAAAGGTGAGACATTTCATATTAGAAATTAGAAAAAGATAGCCACTCAGCAAATGTTTTTCATTATTGTTTCCTATGCACAGAAATGTGTCAGGCACTAGAGATACTAAGAAAAATGTAAAGATTCTTGCTTTCAGAGAATTTACACCTTGAAGAGAGAAATGGACACAGATACCTGTAGATAATGAACAGTTAATGTATGGTGTAATCTATATATATGATGGTGCATTTGGAGCTAAGTATTATGCTTTCAGAGTTCACTAACTCTTAAAATATTGTGTAGTTCTGGTGAAACAGAAGACATCAATAATTCTTATAGGGCTCAGTTGGTCAGTTTGATTTAGGCTTTAATAGAGGTGAATTTAGAGTTGAGGTACAAAGACCCTGACTACCTACACAAATGCAAGTGAAGTGTGTCAGTCTGGTTGGGCCAGAAAAAGCGACTATAAGATTTATGGGAGTAAAGATGTTTAATAGAGAAATCAGGGCTTATTCAAGAGACATTGAGGGAATAAGTCTTTGGTCCTCTAGTTGTAGCCTTTCAGAAACAGTCACTAAAGACTTTAGTCTGGAGACTGGAGGAGCAAAAGTTCATAAAGAAGTCTGAGAAATTTCTGTTACTACCTCACAGTGGAAATTCAAAGAAAGGTCTGCAGAAACACAGCATCTGGCCACTTTGGCCTCAAAGTAGGAGCTCAAGGACAGGTGTGAGAAGCTATCTTATCTGGCTTTAAAGACCTTTCCAGAATAATTACTTCCTTTTTTCTTTTCCCTTGTGAATCCCTCATAAGTACCCCTCTCATTGGCAAACTAACCCACACTACATAGGGAAGATCCTGGGCTTCTCTGCATAGCAAAGGTAGGCTGTAGAGGTGATACAGAATGCTTATTCACACAAAGCATCAAATGAACTAAGACCTGAAGAATGAAAGCATTTACAGGGAGAAAACATTGCAGGTGGAAGGAATAGCACATGAAAAGGTGCATATGGAGGTATAAGACAGTATGATTTAGTTATGGAAATGTAAGAGTCCAATATGACTACGTGTGAGTTGCACGGTAGAAAATGATTAAGGAGGTAGATGGAAAAAAAAAAAAAAAAAACATTAAAAAGTAGGCAAAAGGCATGAGCAGACACTTCTTTTTTTTTTTTTTTTTTTTTTTGAGACGGAGTTTCGCTCTTGTTACCCAGGCTGGAGTGCAATGGCGCGATCTCGGCTCACCGCAACCTCCGCCTCCTGGGTTCAGGCAATTCTCCTGCCTCAGCCTCCCGAGTAGCTGGGATTACAGGCACGCACCACCATGCCCAGCTAATTTTTTGTATTTTTAGTAGAGACGGGGTTTCACCATGTTGACCAAGATGGTCTCGATCTCTTGACCTTGTGATCCACCTGCCTCGGCCTCCCAAAGTGCTGGGATTACAGGCTTGAGCCACCATGCCCGGCCTAGACACTTCTTAAAAGAAGACATACATGCAGCCAACAAATATGAAAAAAAGCTCAACATCACTGATCATTCAAGACATGCAAATCAAAACTGCAATGAGATACCATCCCACACCAGTCAGAATGGCTATTATTAAAAAGTTAAAAAACAACAGATGCCGGCAAAATTGCAGAAAAAAGGGAACACTTTTACAGTATTGGTAGGAGTATAAATTAGTTTAACCGTTGTGGAAGACTGGCGATTCCTTAAATACATAGAGGCAGAAATACCATTTGACCCACTTACTCCATTACTGGGTATATACTCAAAGGAATATAAATTATTCTGTTATAAAGATACATACACATGTATGTCCATTACAGCACTATTCACAATAGTAAAGACATGGAATCAACATAAGTGCCCATCAGTGATAGACTGGATAAAGAAAATGTGTTACATATGCACCATGGAATACTATGCAGCCATGAAAAGGAACAAGATCATGTCCTTTGCATGGACATGTATGGAGTTGAAAGCCATTATCCTCAACAAACTAGTGCAGGCACAGAAAACCAAACACTGCGTGTTGTCACTTATAAGTGGGAGCCAAATAATGAGAACACATGATCACAAGCGGGAAACAACCACACTGGGGCCTGTCAGTTGTAGGGGCTGGGAGACGGAGAGCATCAGGAAGAATAACAAATGGATTCTCGGTTTAATACCTAGATGATAGGATGATCTGTGCAGCAAAACACCATGGCACACGTTCACCAATGTAACACACCTGCACATGTCCCCAGCACTTAAAATAAAAGTTGAAGGGAAATAAAAAGGAGGTAGATGAAAGCCAAACATTGAAAGGCTTTACAAGTAATACAGAATTGAAATAGAATCACTGAAAGGATTTGAGCATGGAAAAAATACAATAAAAATTGTGTTTTGTTAAGATAGCTCTGGCATTGATGGAGGATTCGAGGACTGATTAAGGGAAAGCAAATCCAGAAATACGTAGAGGGCTATGGCAGAAATTGTAAAGGCCTATATCAATGTGGTTCAACAGGAATGGAGAGAAGTCAGAAGATTTAAATTATCTTTGTAACAGAGTTTTAGAGATAAGCAAAGGAGTATATGAGGGCTCTTCTGGTCTGCGGCTTGGGTGTCTGAGAACACGATAAAACCATTAATAACACAGAAAGCAAAGAAAACAGTACCTAGAGAAAAGTGTGTTAAATTGAGGAAAATGACTGATAAATTTAGAAAAGCCTCAAACAGATTTGCTTCTAAGATTTTGGTGATAATCTTTCTGTTTGCATTTCAGTGCGATTTGGAAGGAATCATGCCAAATGTTACCATCAGCTTGAGTCTCCCCACCAATGGATCTCCACTTCAAGATATTCTAGTTCATCCTTGTGTAACTTCTCTTGACTCTGCAATTCTGACTTCTAGTAGCATTGATGCAGTGGATGACTCTGCATTTAGTGGGCCTTACAAATTTCCATTCACTCCACCTTTAGAGTCATTCAACTTATGCTACTACACTTCCCAGGTAAACAACCTTAGAATCATTGAGAGTTTACTCATCTTTATATTCATAAATACTCTTGATAAGTAAATAATTCATACTCTTGGTTATGAAAACTTAGAAAAAGTTCTGTTTATCAGGCAATAATTGATGGATGAAGATGAAGATTCAGGCCGGGTGGAGTGGCTCATGTCTGTAATCCCAGCACTTTGTGAGGCTGAGGCGGGTGGATCACTTGAGGTTAGGAGTTTGAGACGAGCCTGACCAACATGGTGAAACTCTGTCTCTACTAAAAATACAAAATAATTAGCCAGGCATGATGTCGCGTGCCTGTAATCCCAGTTACTTAGGCAGTTGAGGCAAGAGAATTGCTTGAACCTGGGAGGCAGAGGATGCAGTGAGCAGAGAATACACAACTGCGTTCCAGCCTGGGCGACAGAGTGAGACTGTCTCAAAAAAATAAAAATAAAAAATAAGATGAAGATTCACTTCTTTGAATAAGCTACCTCTTTGGTGTCTGTAATTGTTTGTAAATGGCTTTCAAAATATATTGATTTTTTTTTTTTTAATGTTCCCTAAAAAGGAGTTCATGGTCATAGGATAGATTTTGGTACGATTTAGTCATGGTTTTAACCATGAACATAAAATAACCTCTCATTGCAGGCAACCTGAATTACAGATACATATTATTATTAATAGCTATTTATTGTTTATTGAATAACTGCTTCTGTGTCAGACATTGTCCTAAGCACTTTACATGTATTTTCTCTAGTACTGTTAATAGTCTTTAGAGTAGACATTATCCCCATTTTACAGCTGAAGAGAGTCTCGAAGTGAAATGACTTGCACCAGGTCATATAATTAATAAATGTCACTACCCGTATTTGAACCCAAATTTTTCATACTCCCAAAATCCTTTTCTACTATACCGTTTATCTCTTGTCCTAGTTGTGAAGGAATAAGTTAGAAAAACCTACTCAAGCTAGCTTAAGTAGAGCGAATTTATTTTGAGAATGCAACAGGCAATCTCATTGCCATTTAAGGATAAGAAAAGAAGCAGACCCACTCCTAATGGGACTAGAACTAGAAAATTAATATCAATACCACTCTGTACTCAGAGTCCACCCCTTCACATCTCCGCTTCTAGTCTTCTCCTTCAGCTGGCTTTCTCTGTTTACACATGACCTTACAGCTCTAGGACTTGCACTGTAAAAGTAGTCTTTCTGTGTCTTATTTCAAATGCACTAGAAGTCATGATTGGCTCACCCTAGGCTACAAGTTGTTTCCCCTTCAGTCTGTTATTCATGACCAACCAAGTTAAGTTACTGCTGAACTATGGGATTGGAGAATTTATGGGATTCATTTGGAGCAACAGGAGCTATGGGCAGGTTGGCAGTGATCAGTATAGTATGCCTACTGCATGCCCTATGCTGCAGGTCAGAGAACATGGAGACGGGAGCCTGGACAAGCAAGTATAGGAACAAGAATGCATTGGACACTTTTGTAAAGCAGTTTTCTCACCTCTGAAAACAGAAAGAGATAGAAGAATCATTATCCTTATAACGAATATAGATTCATCATTGTTCTTACCAAAACAATTTGGAATAACCTCTAAGTCATTAAAAGTAATTATTTTCTCAGTTACTTTTGGTGTTTAGACCCATTAACCTGAGAATTATATAGACATTTATGTTTCTTTTTAGGTCCCTGTCCCACCAATTTTGGGTTTTTATCAAATGAAGGAGGAAGAAGTACAACTAAGAATAACTGTTAATTTAAAACTTCATGAAAGTGTGAAAAATAATTTTGAATTCTGTGAAGCTCATATACCTTTTTTCAATAGGTAGGAATAAAATACATACTGCCATAATTTCTACCTTTTTTAATACATTCCCACTGCCCCATAATACATTGTCTTTGTCTTTTAGCTTATTTTTAAGGCCTAAAGAATTTTATTTTATTCAAACGAATGCCGATTTTGATGTTACAGTCATAAAAATAATCTGTTTACTTTTAAGTATGTCTTTATCTTTCTAGTTAAACTTACCAGTAGATTATACTCTTAAGCCATTGTAGCTTTCTCAGGGATTATTTTTCTACTGGCTTTATTTCTAGCAGTTTTTCTGTATACAAGTCAAACCAAACTGTCAACATCTGGTGAATTAGCCAGTTATAATATTACTTTCTTATCAGTTCTACTTTTAAATTTATTCTGCAGCATAGTTTTTTTTTTGTCAAAATATATCTACATGTGTAGTAAAATCATAGTTTTAATGTTATAGCAACCCATGTGACTATGTTAATACATTTCGTATGATTTCATAGTTGTCTTAATGATTAATAATGAAATACATATTATCACCAAAAATATTTCTGTGGGTTTTGGTGTTTTTCAATATTTAATATTCATTATTTGTTCTATTCGGCAAACTTAAATACAGATCTGCTTTTTTTTTTTTTTTTTGAGACGGAGTTTCGCTCTTGTTACCCAGGCTGGAGTGCAATGGCGCGATCTCAGCTCACCGCAACCTCCGCCTCCTGGGTTCAGGCAATTCTCCTGCCTCAGCCTCCTGAGTAGCTGGGATTACAGGCACGCACCACCATGCCCAGCTAATTTTTTGTATTTTTTTTTAGTAGAGACGGGGTTTCACCATGTTGACCAGGATGGTCTCAATCTCTTGACCTCGTTATCCACCCGCCTCGGCCTCCCAAAGTGCTGGGATTACAGGCGTGAGCCACCGCACCCGGCCCCAGATCTGCTTTTATGATGTCCTTGTATTAAATAACAGTGGCCAAGTTTGACTTAGATCTCTTAAAACTGTTTTATCTGTGATCTTTCTCTGTTTTGTCCTTTTCTTTTTAAAGAGGTCCAATTACACATTTGGAATACAAAACTAGTTTTGGCCAGCTTGAAGTATTTCGAGAGAAAAGCTTATTGATCTGGATTATTGGTGAGCAAGTTTTGTTTATTGATTTTTTTCTTATCATTTACAGTAGAATCTACTTAATTTAGAATAGTTGATTGATATATTTGTGTTTTAGGCCAGAAGTTCCCAAAATCAATGGAAATTAGTCTTTCTGGAACTGTAACTTTTGGAGCCAAGAGCCATGAGAAGCAGCCATTTGACCCAATTTGTATTGGAGAAACAGCATATTTAAAGGTAAACATATTTATATGGCTCACTACAGTAGAGCCCCTTCCTTTGTTTCTAAATTGCATATTTCTAGTTGATTTTTTTATATTTTCCACCAATTATTTTAGAATTCTGTTCTTTTTGTCTGGGCTAAGTTCTCTTTTGGATTTTTGTTTGATTTTTGTTGTTATTGTTTAGTATTAATCATTCTACTTCACTTAATACTTGAACATTTTAAGGAGCTAGGCATGGTGGTGGGTGTCTGTAGTCCCAGCTATTGGGGAGACTGAGGCAGGAGGATCACTGAAGCCCAGGAGTTCAGGGTTACAGTGAGCTAAATTGTGCCACTGCACTGCAATCTGGACAGCAGAGTGAGACCAGGTCTCTTTTAAAAAGGAGTTCTTTGTTTTTTTTTAAAAAAAAAAGGCATTTAACCTAAATACCCTAACTTAACCTAATTCTGCTCAGCTCTCGGTTATCAAATTTGAGATTTGGGCCAGGCATGGTGGCTGTCACCTGTAATCTCAGCACTTTGGGAGGCCAAGGTGGGTGGGTTGCTTGAGCCCAGGATTTTAAGACCAGCCTGGCCAACATCGTGAGACCCTGCCTCTACAAAAAATAGAAAACTGAGCTGGGCATGGTGGTACACACCTTTAGTTACAGATTTTTGGGATGCTCAGATAAGAGAATCACCTAAGCCTGAGGAGTTTGAGGCTGCAGTGAGCCATGATTGTGCCACTGCATTCTGGCCTGGGTGACAGAGTAAAACTCTGTCTCAACAACAACAACAAAATGGAGATTTATATATAAAAAAATAAAAGATGTAGTCCTTGCCCTCCAGGAATTTTTCAGTGTTGCATGTCAACTATTTATCAGTGCCAGCAGCTTTGGTATTTCAGCAAAAAAGTGCTACATATAGCTGAAGTTGTCGTGGAAAGCTTTACAGTGGAGGTGAGGTTTAAGCCAAACTCTGAGGCCTCAATATGCATGAATATGAAGACTTGAAGGTTGACGAACATTTGTTTAGGTAATGAAATTATTTGAAAGAGTGAAGATAAACAAGGCATGCTTAGAAACCAATGCTAAAAATAGTAGTACTATATGAGACCGAATACATAATTTAGATTCAAATTATAGGGGGTTTGAATCTGACTTTTATTCTTTTGGCTGATGGTGTATTTTTTTAAGTGGGGGGGTAGTCCTTCACAAGTGATACCTCATGAATGTTAATCTGGAATGGATGTAAGGAAGGTAAGTAAAAATCTAGAGACAAGTCATTCTATAGCATATTAGTATTCCATATGAAAGGTTAATATTATAATGAATTAATAATGCTGAGTTAGTGTAGTGTCAACAGAAAGAGAAAGGAAGAGAGAAAAGTGAAGAGTGCTGTAAAAGCCATGGTAAAAGTAAAACCTTGACCACTAATTAAATACCGATACAAGAAATGATATTGTTCAAAATAATATGGAACTTAAACCAAACTGGACACTTTTTAGGAGGGTAGAGGCATGAATTCATTCATTCATTGTTTTATTCCAAATGTCTAATCCAGGACCTAGCACATAAATATTTGCTGACTGGATGAACATACTTGAAAATTGGGAAGGAATGGGTTTCATATCATATTTCTTGCTGGTAATAGCAACATAGCCCATTGTAAATGTTCAGTGGATAGCTAAAAATCTAAAGCTTGATTCTTAAGAGAAGGCTCAGCTGTATACAAGGATTTAGGAATGATCCACAGAGAAGAAATAGTTGAGGCAGTGGAAATAAATAAGATCAGAAAAAGGTAAGATAATACAGGAAGATTCAGAACAAATGAAGGAATTGAAGGAGTGATTAGAAAGGTAGCAAGAAAACCTAAATAAAATGGAGTAAAGAAATCAAAGACAAGAAGTACAGGTGATTAGGTGAAGTCGTGAAGTCAGAAGTATTCTGGTGATAATTCATTTCTTCTATCTTGGCTTTACCTATGTCCAGAAGCTTTGTTTTAAGGATTATTATAAAAATTCCTACTTCAGATACCTTTCAGAACATGTGGAATGTTACCACACATTGTATGTCCTTCAAAGGAATTATAATTTTTCTGTTCATTCCCATCTCTAACCAGTTGCTCACTCACACTGAAATCATGTAGTACATATTTGTGTTCACTGAATGATCTAAGTGTGTTTTACAATATCTTAGTTGTGTGGAAGTCAGTCTTGTCATAACTTCTAGCATTCAGAATTATACCAAAAAAGCAAGCAAAAGCCCTTTATTATCAGTGATCATTTGAGTTGCAACAGGAAAAAAATTGCTGAGAAGATCTGAAAATTGCATTACATTCTAAATCACATCTTATGCATGTGATCAGTTAGTTTGATAATTAATGGAGAAAGGAAACTGGAGAAATTTGCAGGAAATAGAGATAGGAGAAAAATACATAGAAAGGTATCAGCATACTGCAAAAATCTGGAGCGTTTAGCAGCAGAGATGAGGAGAATCACAGCAAAGGAGAATTAGAGCTCCATGAAACATATTTTTTCGTAGGCCATGTGAATGTCATTGTAACTTAGAGGTACCCTGGTACGATGTCTTCAGAGGAGGTACTAATGATTCACTCTCTTATGGCACAGTATGATAATTGACATTTGTAGTGATAGCCCCACATTGTCAGTGAAATCCAGGAATTATGGAGTATGTTTTAGAAAGATTTTCTAGGTGAGGGAAAAGGTAATTCCTAAGCTTAGTTCTATAAACGTTAAATTCCACCCTTCTGGAAAATTAAGTAGAGCAGCTCATTCCCCTTAAACACAAGCTAAACTGACGTTCCTGTTTTTGTAATTACATTTTATTTTGCTAGAAGGTGTATACTTTCCTGCCTATAAAAGACATGATCTAGAATATATCCTAACCACTTAGCCCTAGGGATAGAAGAGAATATACAGTATACAAGACAGCAGCGTAGGGGGAGACAGCACCAGCTTTTGGAGTCAGTGAGGTGTGAGTTCAAATGTCACCTCTGCTGGATGCCAGTTCCTTGCATCTTTGAACCTCAGTTCACTCAGCATACCTTGGAGTATGTATTAGAGCTGTTAGTGAAGTGCATATTATATGTTAAGTACTTCATTATGACAGCCCTACAAAGAAATGGCCCTAATGCAAAGGGGAAAAAAAAATTTTGTGTGTTTGTATACACATGTGCATGCACATACACACTCGCATACACAATTCAAGTTTAATACTTAGGCTTTTTATTTTGTGAACTGTGTAAAATAAATTCCCTAAAATTGGGTCAAGGGAAAAAATGTAACCATCTATTTTACCTAATAATCACCTTAATTTGGTACATTTCTCTCTCCTTTCTAGCTTCACTTTAGGATCTTGGATTACACACTTACTGGGTGTTATGCAGATCAGCATTCGGTTCAAGTTTTTGCGTCAGGAAAACCAAAAATAAGTGCATGTAAGTTATACAGATTCAAACTAACTTAAGGGAATTAAAATGGTGTTTGGAGTTATTACCTAAGGTAAAATTTGAATGTAACAGAACTTAGACATTGGAGAATAGTCCCAATTTATAAAATTCTGGGCTGATCCTACCCCATATAACAGTTTGTATACTTTATGCTGCCCTCTGCCTTCTCTTGTTTATAAAGTGGTCTGACTGAGCAAAGATTGGGATAGAGGTGAACTTTAGTATAAAATTCGATTTGTTTTTCTCTGGTTATTTTATTCAGAGATGGTTCACAGAGACTGTGATGTTGGACAGACAAAGCTTAAGCCTGGCTCAGCCATTTCATTAACTGTATAACTTAGGGCAAGTTAGTGAACTTCTTGAAGTTCTAATTTTCTTGTCTATAAAATGGAAATAATAGTGCAATTTACCTCAGTATTGTTATGAGGTTTAAATAAGATTATATTGACTTGGTATGATGCTTAGCATATAGTATAGATTTAGTAGATACTAGGGATGATTCTTATTTAAAAATTTTAAATATCTTTAGCAAATGTTACAGTCAATAAGCATTATCTAACACCTTCTGTATTCTATCAATAGGAAGACAATAAAAAAAGATGCTTCCTGTCTTTAGTATGTTTAATGGTTGGTAAAGTACGGATCTTTCTGTGTATACGCACACACACAAGCACACACACACGAAACACAGGAAAATATGATGAGACAAAAAGCAATTTATAAATGAATCAAAATTATTTAATTCAGATAAAATAGAAATATGTAACAAAAAAGTAGCTAGAATGAGGTAGAATTATCTAAACTTAAGCAGAATCTTTTTACCTCATACATTAAGGAGAATAAAGCTGTTATATATGTGGAAAAGAATCCTAATTTACACACAGTTTTATTATTATAGTTAGAGAAATATTTCTTAAACTAAGGATTAGGATTCTAAGAAGAATAGGAAAAGACTCTACCTGAACATTTCAAGAGGCTTAAGAGAACTCAGAACTACAGAATTCTAAGCAATTACTTGTGCATGACAATATAACGTCTGTGTGATGTAACCAGAATAAATCAGTATTCTTTACTTCCCTAGGCTTACCCTGTCTATTCTGTTACATCATTTTTTGTTTTGTATATGGGAGACTGAAAGCAAACAGACCAATAGTTTAGGTTGCCTATGGGAAAATATTTTAACTTATTTATGTTAATTAAACATATTGGCCGAGCGCGGTGGCTCAAGCCTGTAATCCCAGCACTTTGGGAGGCCGAGGCAGGTGGATCACGAGGTCAAGAGATTGAGACCATCCTGGTCAATATGGTGAAACCCCGTCTCTACTAAAAATACAAAACATTAGCTGGGCATGGTGGCGCGTGCCTGTAATCCCAGCTACTCAAGAGGCTGAGGCAGGAGAATTGCCTGAACCCAGGAGGCGGAGGTTGCGGTGAGCTGAGATCGCGCCATTGCACTCCAGCCTGGGTAACGAGCGAAACTCCGTCTCAAAAAAAAAAAAACATATTGCAGTAATTTCCAGAGCGCATAATACATGATGGAAATATACCTGCTTCTTAATACAAAATATATTGAATGAAATAACTCATTTTAAATTAATATTGTGACCCATTGTTTCTTTCCTCTGTTACTTTCAAAATGTGACTGCTAGTTTGTGCAATTATGTAAAACCTTTATTTTACCGTCATCTTGACAATAAAATCTATTTTTAAAATATACAACTTAGTTTAAAAATAGTTTAGTAATAATACTAATTTAAATAGTGACTAATATTTATTGCTTTCTGTATGCCAGACAAAGTTCTAAGTGTTTTATGCATATTACCTCATTAATCCTCACAGCACCCTATGTAAGTGTTAGCTCCATTTTACAGATGAGGTCATTGATGGAACTGAGAGATTAAAGTCCCGTAGCTAGCAAATGGCAGAACTGGGAGTCAAATCCTCAAGCAGTCTGGCTCTGGAACCTGTCTACTTAACAGTATGCTGTCTTGCCTCTCATTATTACTGAGTTCTCAAACTTTGAAGAAAACAAAAAGACAATATAGTCTATATTCTTTTCATTTTGAAGAAGGGCACGAAGAAGAAAGAAAAGGCTGAATCGGATATTTGTGTGTGTGTGTGTGTTTGTGTGTGTGTGTGTGAATTTACATGTGTAATGCGAATGAGCATTATTATCTCAACTTTACATATCAAAAAACTTTAGTTTAAATAGGTTGCCATTTTTTTAGAGTTTCAAAGCTATTCTTTAAAAGGCTTAAATTGATCATAACTATAATAAGAAACCAGTGAAGCAAACTGTTTAGAATGTTGCCATGAAGTTGGGTATTATTTTATATCTCTGACAGTTTGGGTAAAGAATAGCAAGACCTGAATCAGGGCCATGGTGATAAGGTTATTGAAAAGGAACCAATGAAAAATTTTTAATGTTTTTGCAGTCAGAGTAATAGTCCATAAGAAAAAGATTTTAAAGAAAACGTGAGGATAAAATTGGCAGATTTGGCATAAATGAGAGATATTTCATATAAGGTTAAAGATGGATTGTTCAGATATTTAATGAGTCCATATTTGTAAAATGGTAAAAGTTAAAGCCTCGATAATGTCAAATTAAAATGAATAATTCAAAGTATTGCCTTGGATAACTGCATTTCACAATTTCTAAAAACCATAACTTTGCTTTCATTGAATTTTTGCTAAGATAAAATAGTCTTATCATTAATTTGTTTCTCTCTTCTTTAGACCGGAAACTAATTTCTTCTGATTATTACATCTGGAATTCTAAAGCCCCTGCTCCAGTAACTTATGGATCATTATTACTGTAATATTCTCATCTTTAAATTGGATTATATAATAACAATTTAAAGGAAATCATAATCTTATATTTCTAATGTGGATGCATATAACCTATGAGTGAAAAACCGTTGAATGATTCAGTTGTAAAACTACTCTTATTTAGTGTTTGTAGTCTGATAGAGTTTGAAGGGATGTTTTGAAAGCTATTGTCTCCAATTTTGTTACCCTTTGATTTTATGCCAGTATAATTCAGAATGTTAAAAGTAATTATTCTCTTGGGCTCATTTTAGACTAGTTCTGGGTCACCCTGCCACACTTGTTTCCTAACGTTTCCGTGGCAAACATTGCCAATCAATTACAGCTCCTTTTCTATACTGAGCCTTGATTAAAGGGTCAGCCTCTTTTTTAGTTCTGTGCAAGATAAAAACTATTTTCTCTTCCATATCTAAATACTAAGCTCCTAGTATAAGGTGTTGTTATAGAATACCAGAGACTGTGTTAGAAACAACTACCTCTTCAAAAGCAGCCAACCGAGACAAAGGAAGATTTTTTAAATAGTAACCTGTTCTTCTTAATCAGAACTATCCTATTGACTAATAAAGAATCTGCATAATTCTATTTAAAGTGTGTAATCTCTGTTCTAGAGTTAGTTTTTAAGTAAGCTTGTTAATCTGCCATGTTGACATTTTGCTTAGGATGTCAATAGCCATATTAAGATGTGTGGGATACCTTCAGAAGATGATCATAGTGTTTTGTAATCGTTTAATGCCTGCAGCCAAATTTTTTAAAGATAATTTAGGTATAATATTCCTCTTTCTGTGTTTTATTAGGTTAAAATTAGTGAATTCAGGTAAAAATTCAAAAGGCACTCTGTGGGTAGAGAGTATGATTTAAGCTTATTTTAGTCACATGTAGTACATATCTCCTTAAAGCTGTCACTCTCACTTTCTTACCATTCTCTTGATTTCTTCAGAAACCATCTAGTCATCATCTTTATTATCTACCTGCTTCTGCAATTATGTGTCATATTCTGTTTTCAGAGCAGTTCATTGTCAAGTTGGACTTTAAGTGACCATGCAAGAAAAGATGATATCTCAAGAACCTTGAAACTATATTCATGTCAAGGTTCTTTTTACAGATGAGAAAAATATATGCATTAAAGATTAATATTCATTTTAATTATGTCTTTGGTTCTGTTTTTTAATGAGTCTTCTAAGGGAAGGCTTAGAAAAGCTGCTAACTCCTCAAAAGAGAGCATGATAGTTTAAAGGGATAGTGCATATAAATTTAGGATTTGAAATATGATTTTTTAATTAAGGTCAGTCCTAATCATTATAAACTCATTTTCTGCAAAGCATTATCATGGCATAAGGTTCTCTGTTCAGAATCATCCCAAGTAACAAAGAAAAGAGAATAACTGCCTGACCAAGACTTTAACTTGTTATTCTAGCTTAATCATAGGTAATCAGCAGTAAAAACTTTCCTTTTGAAAGAAGATACCATTCCCTGTAAGTTATTTGATCTCTCTTAAACTCAAATAAAGCTTAACATTTCACTTATGTTAATAAGTTAATGATAATGGAGTCATTTGGAATCTTGATTGTATGTTTACCAAATACACTAAGGTGAGCAAGAGGCATTTATCTAGTGAGTAGGCAAAGAGTTAATATAATAATCCCATAGGCAAAACTTCATAAGTAGTTAGAAAAATCAGTGAATCTTCAATCTGACATTTCTAGAAACTGGAGGAAAATCTAGGGTGTCCTGGAAAAGTGGTGAGGTGTTGGGGAACCTGATGCCATCTGTTGCCATTCCATTCTAACATAGTGCTACAGAACTAAACCAACTTAGGTTTTCATCCCATTGAGATCAGCTGGGCACACTGTGATGCTTTTGATTTTGTCTAGAAACCTGTCACTTCAGGATAATTTCTGAAGACAAAGTCTGTTTCCCGTTTGGTGGGTGACCTGTTTAATGTTTTCTCTGTGTCTGGGAACTCCTTAGTGTAATTAGCGACCTTTGAACTCCACAACTAATCCTGAGCTATTTTGTATTCCTTACTCATCCTTAAGGCTGGACCTTTCTTTTCTTCAGAGTCCGCTGCCACAATTAAAGAAGAAACAGCTGCATTTCAAAGGGATTCCGATTCCAGAAGCTTAATCGTGATTGACATGTTCTTATTCTAAGCTATAAGACACTCTAAGAGTCCTTTCTTGGGTTAAAACTTCAATCATTTTCTAAAAAATTATCTCACTATGGATTTTATTCATTTTCTTTGATAACTATTCTTTGCATTTTTTAACTTGAAAGATGCTTTGCATTTGCAGTGAATGTGAGCAACTACTACCAGTGAAGTAGACCTTCTCTAGATGCAAAATTGCTAAATTCCCTTTTAGTGCCAAAATATGATTATGAAATCTGATGTCTATCACATAGGTAATTATTCTTCAGTAAACTCAAAAGGTTAAAAAAAGTGTTAAATTTTTTAGAATGAACTACAGAAAAGATGGTTTCTCTTTTGGTAAACCACTTCTTTTCTCCATTTTTTACTAAACAATATTAAAAAAAATTTTAAAGCCAGCAATATAGTACTTAGGCAATACCCTTACAGTGGTGGCAATTGTTTTTTTAACTTTTTAAGTAATTGATTCAAATGTGAAGTTTGAAGTAGTTTTGTCAGGAATTCTGATAACAATTATTTGTTCAAAAAATTTTTTTGTTAAACATTAGCGTGTCCCATAAAATAATTTATTCACACCAATTCAATATTTCTACTGGATTAAAATTATGGTGTTTTATACATGGTATAATTTAAGATCTTTCAAGGCAGACATTTATACTTAGTAACAATTGCCAATGTTTTTCTTCTGGTTTTTGTTACAGTATTTCAAAATAGTTTACAGACATTCATAGACTCCTACACTACCCCTGGGAGCTAGGTGGGTGGAATTATCATCCAGGACCTCTGTAGGGACTGCTGCCACAACAGAATGGTTGTTCCTAAGACAAAGGTCAAAAAAGGGGTGTTAATAAACAGTCCTCAGGTTTAAGGGACTTTTTTAGGATTACATCTTAAATTCCAACAAATCAGATTTAGGAGTTACTGAAAGTGAAATTGATCCATCCCTCATCCAAACTTTGCAATACTTTCCTGTTCTGACATCATTTAGATAGTTAGCTGTATTATCAGATTAGAAACCATTGTACCAGGCTGCTGAAAGGAAAAGGAGGCAAAAAGCTAAACATGGGATGAATTCTGAACCTTTTAACCTGGCTGAAGTACGTTGGTCCCTGTTATGCAAATACCTTCAATCCTCTGCTAAGTTCAGTGGAAATAATTTTCTTGAATGACAGGTTTATTCAGCAAGGATTCAGTTGGTGATTAATCCCCCTTTGATCTAGGGTATTTCACTTAACTACCAGTTACCTCGTTCTGACAAAGTGCAACTGAGATTAGGGAGATCACTAGAACACTACCAGGGTGTGCGTTTATTCTCTATAACCTTTTAAAGCAAGGGCCAAGAATGCAATTTATTTTCAGTATTTGAAGATGTAAAGTCCTGTCTGCTAAGTTAGAAAGTCAATTGAATACCAAATGAAGTTTATTTCTTACGTAATAGAACAAACATTTCTTTTTGCTTTGCCTAACAATGATATTAGGAAACACAGGCTTTGAAGAAAGCAGAAACAAAGACTACATTCTAAGTATTGCTTCTAGTTTTGTTTCATGCACTAGAGTATACTTAACTGGTCCTGAGATAACCCAAAAATCAAACCAGTGGCTACAACTTAGGCTAAGAAAATGCCTCTGTTTTATTAAGCTGCATGGTTTCTTCTCACCTTTCCCCCTACCACCACCGTTTGAAAATGCCATACTGTGTGATAAAGAAATCCAGTTGAGGAAAACGTGTTGCAGTACACAGTTACCCACTTTGAGACTTCTGATTTCGAAACTTTGTTTGTTAACTCTTTCTTTTCTTGAGGCAAAGGAGCTTCTTAGATTTCCATTATAAGAATAATTGCATTCATTTTCAGAATACTTTTTTTTCAAAAGAAAATGACAGCATTACCAAAATACTCGAGTAATTAAATTTTTTCTGCCTGCCTTTCTCTCAGTTGTCTGAGTAGCTCTTCTTCCATAATTTTAAACTTTGAAATATTATATGGAATTTTGCACAATATTTTGAGGGAAAAAAATTTAATGTTTCATGCTAGGTTTCTCAATTTGCTGTTTAAAACTGAATAGTGATGTCAGTGTTTACATTGTAATGTGTCAGATTAGAGGATTTATTCCTCTACTATATTTTAAGACCTTTTTAAAAAAGTATGATTTGTTATAAAATCTGTTTTTAAAGATTAGATTTTGATTAATGATTTAGTTATAGACAAAGCATTTTAATCCTTAGTAATTACAATTCTAGTAGCATTTTGCAATACAAGTGATGTATTTAGATTATTATACTTTTTTTAGCTCAGACTTTTTGTGATCTAATTTATAAATTGAAACAATTACTCAAAGAAGTGCATATCTTTAACTTATGTCTGTGCTAAGCCAGCTTCCTCTAGTTTCAATGTAATAACTAGTTTCAAAATACATTTTGAAAGCAAGTTTCTAAACTGCAGCAAAATTGAGGATCAGGGGAAATACAAGTTATGGCAGGTCTATAAAGATGGAGGGCAGGTTCCCATGGCTCTGTTGCTAAGAAACTAGTGTTTTTAATCATTACATTTCATGCAGTTCTATTTATTCAACAAAACAGAATATATATCAAAATTCACCATCACAGAATATATATACCCACAACATATATATACAAGTATATGAATTTATGTAAATGTATACAACACTAGTGTCTGACTTGGTTGGTTTCCCTGTGAAATATGTTAGTATAATGTAAGACGAGGCATATTTTAAGGTCAAATATTCAAATATCTTTCTTCCAAACCCAGTTAATAGTTGTGAAAGGATTCATTAAAATGAAAATTGCCAAGAAACTTGTGAGATTACTCTTAACAAAGTGATTAAAACGCTTCGGAGCTGAAGGTTTTTCAGCGAGCTGCTAACTTTCCTTGATATAACGTTAGTGTTTGTGTTTAGCCTGGAACAATACAATGCTGTACCTGTATCACTAGTTTCTTGCCTTATAAGCAGGTTACTGCAAGGTCTGGTTGATTTCTCTAATTCCCTGGCTGATCTGTATCGTTGACATCAGTGTAATGTTGATGTATGATGCGTAAGTGTTTACAGTCGGACGAATGCTCCGCAATAAAAACCACCTGCTAAATTTTTTTTTCAGTAGGGTGTGAAAATTTGCATGTCTGTTTGCTTTAAATGGCCTCTTTTAAATGATAGTTTATGTTTATAAATTTTATTATAATGAAAAATTAAAAATTAGTTATTTCTCTTAAATTTTTCCTTTTTCCTTCAAGGGACTTGGGTGCCCTCTGCAGGTTATAATGAGATAATTAACGACCATATCTATTTTTAAACGCTGTGATTTTTTTTTCCCCTTTCATACACATAGCCTGCTTACATCCAATTTCAAAGAGAGTGTGAGCTAATTTATTTATATTGACTCTATTGCCAGTAGTTGATTTTGGAGTTTCTTTTCTCCACTGGTTTTATAGGTGTGTTTAGTGTGAGGAATGTGATACCACTGAACTTCCAGACTACTTAGCTGGTGCTCTTTAAATTTTAACTACAGTAACACACATTCCCTCACAGAAAGGAGATTAGGAAAACAGCTATTTTGAAATGTATTGCAGATGTAGGGAATAGCTTGTTTCCCTTTATGTTGGTAGAATATTACACATTTGGAATAAGCCTTGCTTTTCAACATGCATCATGTAAAATTACATGAAAGAAAATAGTTCAAAAATTACACAAGATTTCTCTTTCTTGATCTTGATGATGATGGTGATGATTGTGTTCTAGCTCAAAAAACAGACCTTCTTAGAATTTCTTATTTTTTAAAAAGTGAATATGAAACAGATAATGCTTTGGTACTGCCTGTTGCAGACATAGGTCTACTAAACTAGCAAGATTATTTGAAGAGCAAATGGCAAAGGTTTCCTCACCATCCTGTGGAAATACATGAGTTACTCATTTCAGTACATCCATACGTTCTCAACAGATGTAGCAGATTTGTTTCTAAAGGATATAGGAGTTCATT